GCTCCCTCCCCTTCCCGGGCTGCCGGGGCTCCCCTCCCGGCCCCGGGCTCCCCGCGCCGGCGAGGACCGGGCTGGAGCGGCGAGGGCAGCGTCAGCTGCCGAGTGTCCTCCGGCCCTGCGCTTTGCCAGACGTATTTACTGGCTACACGGGAAGAAAATGGGCTCCAGGAAGGGCTACGTCGTGTTTGCTGCTTCTGCAGAGTTCATTCCACCCCTGGGAACTTCTCAGCCCTCGCAGGAGGGGCCGTGCTGCTCCCTAGGGAACTGAGGCGCTTTCCCTGCGCGGCGCGTGTGGGAGCGCTGAGCTCAGCTGGGACGGGAGAAGGCTGGGAAGCCCTGGGGAGTTCGGGTCACAGATGGCAGCGGCCGTGTGTTATCATTCCAGACTGCACTCTGTGACCCGCTGACAAACTGAGACAAGTTGTAAGAACCTCTCTGCGAACGTAGTAAGGCTGTTTGTTAATCGTACTTGTGACTACAGAGGATCTTGAAACAGATTTTTTTTTTTTTTTTTTTTTTTAAATGGGTGCTACTGTGCTCCTACTCGAGTGAAGTCAATACCCCTCATAGAAAAAATTATAAAGTTGCATGGGGTGCTCTGTGGGATGCTTCTGCGAGAGTGATGTAAACAAACAAACAATATAATGTGAAAAATGGAATAAGGAGCGGCTTAAGTCCTGCAGCAACAGGTGGCAGAGCTGAGGGGAAAGTGCATGTCCTGGCTCTCTGTCTTGCATCTCTGCCACAGCACAATCTTCGTCCTTTAGGGGTAGGGCTTTGTCTGGGTCCTGCAGCATGGCACAGCCGTGCCCTGGGGCAATCAGGAGACAGCCAAAAGCAGAAAAAGCCTCAACAAAATGCAAGCACTTGCAGAACATATGCGATAATCAAATCACAGTTCTTCCCCACGTTAAAGATTTTTCTTTCCCCTCAGAAAGTATACCTGAGAGAAAATACTGCAGGGTATTGAGGCACTAAACCAGTGGCAAAGGAAAACAGAGAGATACTGTGTATCATTAAAAAAAAAAAAAAAAAAGTTTGTAGAATCAATCTATGCCGGCAAAGTTGCCAAAAGGGGTAAGATTAGCTTAAGAATTTAAAGCACAACAGCATGCTTGGCTACAAAAGTTTAAGGTCTTGGCTTCTCTCATTGAATCAATGAACATAAACTGAAAATAGACAGATTCTAATATAAATTTATACTGAGCACTTGAGATAAAACTTGAACAGAATAAATGAGAAGGCCAGGAAAAAAGGAAAAAAAGGGAAAAAAGGCTTGGAAAATAGCATCAGGATTTATTAGTGAAATTAAGAAAGACATATTGTCTCAGATTTAAAAAGGAATCTCTTAAAAATGAGAGAAAGAAAGAAAAAGAAAGAAAAAGAAAGAAAGAAAGAAAGAAAGAAAGAAAGAAAGAAAGAAAGAAAGAAAGAAAGAAAGAAAGAAAGAAAGAAAGAAAGAAAGAAAGAAAGAAAGAAAGAAAGAAAGAAAGAAAGAAAGAAAGAAAGAAAGAAAGAAAGAAAGAAAGAAAGAAAGAAAGAAAGAAAGAAAGAAAGAAAGAAAGAAAACCTGCTAATACAACAATACTTTGTTTTCATGGAAAAAGCAGCAATGGATTTTAGCAATTTTTTTTAAAAAAAGACAGGAAAAAAAAGGTTAAATCAAAAGAAATGTCTTTGATAATGATGGAAATATCCTATTAAATAGAAATTTAAGTGCATGCTCCAGGTAACACAAACATTTTCAGAAAGTAATATTGGAGTAAGTTGACTAGTTTAAGAGAAACAGAAAGGACATGGGATAGAATTACTCAGAAAGTGGCTGAAAAGCAGGAGATAAATTACATTAATTTTCATCAGACAAATGTCACAATCTGGAGATCAACCCAAGTAAGACACAAAAAGAGAGGCAGCTTGCAGGAAAATTGTAGAAAAGGATTAGGAATAGAGATTGGGAAACAGAGCATAAGTAGATAGTTGAACGGCTAGAGGTGTTTCTGCAGACTTATATGTGAGGTGAAGATGCCACACTGCTGTCCTAAGGAATTGGGAGCTCATTTTGCTACATGGATGGCAGCTAAAGCTAGAACCCCAGACCCTGAGACTTACTCTTTTATTTTCTTGGCACATGAAGATACTCTGGAGAAACCCGAGAAATTCTTGAATGTATTATGGGTTGCACTTCCAGAAAAAGGACTAAGCAGGAAAACAGCTGATACAGGATGATGTATTTGCCATGACAGGGGCATGTCAGAAGCAAGGCCAAGAAAGTTAAGGAGGAAGACCTGAAACTCTCTTATGAGGCATTGGAAACCAAAGGTACTGACAGAAAAAACAGATTTTATATATACCTGGAAGAAAGACAAAAGAGTGTGAGGTGATTTCCTGGGAAGTATTACCAACTAGAAGGGGCAACTGTGATAAGGGCTGAGGTTCAGCCACTCTTGTACAGCAGCACGTACACAACTATGAGGTATGTTGTGCTACAGGATGTCTTGCAGACCAGGAACAGCCTAATAGCTATCCTGTACCAAGCTGGGCTTTCTGGGCCATGACAGACCAGCATTTAATGTAAAGAAAGGGGGCAACTGATTTCTTTATCTACCCAAAGGAAATGTAGCATTTTTAATGGGGTGTTTGACACCGTGACAGAAAAAAAGAAACAACAAAAACCAAAACAAACCGTGAATAAAAAGGAAGGAAAGCTTTTGTAGGAGGACAAATGTAACAACGTGGTGTAGTTCCAAGAATATAGACAGCTAAAGAAAAGGCATTACATAAATAACATTAGAGGAAAAACAGAGTAAAATTCCTGACCTTTCCAGGTCAACAAAGCAATTCAGCCCCATTTGCAATCAGTCATAATGTCAGTCATTCTAACAAAAGATATCTTACATTAGGATACATCCTGACATAAACTTTACACTTGGGTCTGACCTTGGCTTCCTGATTATGGACCAGTTGGTTTTTACTGTTTTTATTAAGTTCTTAATACTTCTGTTACAATTATTTCATTTGCAATTCAAAAACTGTGCTACGGAGAGGAAAACAATACTATTCCTCATCAGTTCTGTCCCTACAAGTTTAGCAAAATGTAAGGGAGAACGCATGGAACCTATGAAACTTAAGCTGAAAGACAGATAGAGATATGCAGGATCTACAAAATATTTCCTGGTTTTTATATTAATGGATTAATAAACTAATAATGGGAGGAAGAAAAGGATCCACACGAAGCTTTCAACATATTATCTAAAAGGTTGCACTTGCCTGACATATAGTGGCTATAATTCAAATGAGATATTGGGGCTGCATTATATAAATGGTACTATGAGTTCTGTCCTCTTCCTTGGTGAATTAAGGTTTTAGCCACAGTTAATATACGTTAAGAGGTTTGGTCTAGCTGCTTTTGGAAAACAACAGAACACAAAAAGCACAAAAACCATGTGGTTACTTCAGAGAGGCGTTTTCCTTTAGGTTTCTAGAGACAGGCGCAAGAGAAGCCCTTGACTCTCTTCTGTATGAATAGGTCCTGGTGGTTAATCTTTATCAAAAACATGGTAAAGTAAAACTGCAGGAACTTTACCTGCCCTCCTGGTGAAGGTAAGGAGATTTTTGTTAAAGAATTTGATTTCTGAATGGCAGCTAACTGCGTCAGGCACGAGTCAAGGGAATGTAATACTTGGTGTTGAGATCAACTGCTGGGACCCTGTTTGTAAACTAGCCAGCTCAAGATCAAATGACAAAGAAAACTGAGTAACTAAAATACATAGGAGGTCTTTTAGAGGGTTCTGAGTCTCAACATTGCAATTAAAGAGCATTGGAGTGGAAAATGTTGCAAATAACTTTTATGACTTTGGCAAAAATATAACACCAGCTTCCTAATTTTGTTGGGATAATGACAAACTAATAAAAAAGTAAAAGAGAACTGCAAATAAGTAAATAAATAAATAATTAATCAACTAAGTAACTAAGTATGGTAAAGTAGGGAACACTGTATTATGAAATGGCAGAACAGGTATACATCTAGAAATGGAAACTCAGGCTCTATTTACTGTATGTGAGAACATTTTGTTCTCCTTTACTATGGCCAGGTTATACAGATTTAACTTCAATTACAGTGATTTTTAACAAAAAATTAATTACTGGTCTTCACAGCAAGGATGAACAAGTTATTTACTGTTTTGAGATATTGTAGGAGATGTGCTTAGGATCTGAGATCTGTCCAGTCCTCTGGGATTTAGATGGATGATCTCATTAGGTTCAGAGTCACTGCAGTAAGTACAGAAATATACAGATGCTAAACATAATGCAAAATCCTAATTATTGTTTGCAGTTAATTAAAATGCTATTTTTGTTTGTTTTGCCTCCCTCTGGCATCTTCAAGTCCTAATTAATTCTTAACTGTGGGTGGTGGGATTAGGATTGGCAGCAGAACACACCTCAAACAGCCCACCAGCACCATAGGGCTGTACGTGCAGAAGTTCTGCCGAAGCAAAGATCACATTCTTGAGAAGTTAGATAAAGGTCGCTATTGTTCTTGCCGCCAAGATTATTTTTATCACATTGTCAACACAGTTGTTAATGTACAAACACGCAGGTGAGATACAGAACACATGAAACTCATAAAAAAGGTGGAGACGTTGTATGCAATTTATGGCGCTGATAAATAAAATTTGTGAGCAAATATCATTAATTGATGTAGTTCAAGGAGTGGCTGTTTGGCACATTTCTATGGAGGTGGTAATTCAGATGCATAACCAGAGAAACACTGAGGGGTTTTGCTTTTTTTTTTTTGGTTGATTTTTTTCTTTTTTTTTCCTATAATGTTGCAGTTGTTTCAGAGTACAATGAGATTTTTTGGCATAGAAGTGCTGCTGTAATTGGTTTCTAGGACTTTCTTGATTTGACTTAATTGGACATTTTGAAAGGTTGCCCAAATACGTGGTTGGATTTTGCCAATTTTCAATCAATGATTAATAAAGCTCATTTGGAGGATCAATTAGAGTTTCAAAAAGAAGATTTTGCACCAGAATTGTTATACAACTAATGAATTCTACTTTATTAATGAACATTTTCAATGTTGAATGATGAAAAACAGTGCTATAGTGAACAGTAAATGCACATTTTTTAAAAATAATTTCGTCCCTTCAGCTTATCATTATGTTATTTCAGGAATTCTATAATCAGGGTGGGGAAACACTTTAATTCTGGTTTGTAGTGATACTTTTGGCAAAATTCTAATTGTTGTTTTTGAAAAATCATTAGACTCTTAAAAAAATGGTTTAAACAGGTAAGATTTCCTGAAATGTTTATTTCTTTTTCACAGTGCTTGAAGTTTAAGTAGCAGCTTTCCAAAAGTCTTTAGAAAGAATAAGTAACTGCTCTTGGTGTGTCTGAAGACCTAGTGAGTTTAAAGAAATGATGTGTTTGGAGGAAGGAAAAGCTGGTAGTATATGCCGTCATCAGTTTCTAATCTTCCCAGCTCCTCCCCAGGTTCTCGTTTTCAT